CACGTGTCCGACACAGATACTTCATCCAAAGATAAGTGTCCGTGTTTCCTAGCATGGTTCCCACCGGAGCTTATCCCCTCCAGTGCATCTCTCCAGCTAATAATTTGGGTACAATTGGGGTGGCTAACGGATAAAACAAGGAAAACTTCAGTAGGTGGGGAGCTTGGTTTTTGGGTTTGAAGAAGAAAATTTGGAAAGTGGGAAGTTGGCAATTATTTCGGTGGATGAAACTTTTTGTTAAGAGTATATATTAGTATATTTTACATTCTTGTAAATAATATGTATTCATTTGTTCTTTACCTTCTCCTCCTAGGATTAGGTCAACCTTGTATATTTGTCTATATATATAGACTTTAGTAATAAGAATAAGATCTATCTGGTTCTCTCAAACCTTAGTTTCTACATAGTATCAGAGCTCTAGGTTTATTTCCCATTAGGGTTTTGTTCCCATTAGGGTTTTGTTCATTGCTATACAACTCAACTCACTACCACTGCTCCCGCCCACCGCCGCCGTGCCGTCGTTTGCTGATTCGCCAACGCTGCTGTTTTCTAATTCCTGTTCGTGGGTTTCGTCTCGCCATCCTTCGCACCTCCGTCACCGCCAGTCGCCGTGCGCTTCCATCACCGCCAGTGGCCTACGCCCCTCTGGTTGTCGTGGGGTAGCACTTAGGGTTTTTGGTTTCAGAAAACACTTGGTCCGGTTCAAGCAGTCTGGTTCAAGCGGTCCAGTTCACCGGTTTGGTTTCAAGCAGTGTGGTTCATCCGGTTCAGGTACGGTTCGGTCTAGTTCGTCACATTCCAGTTCGGTTTGGTCAGATTTATACCGGTTCTGGTTTGGTTCGTTTGTTTCGGTTCAATTGGTTTGGTTCACTTGGCTCTGTTCAATTGGTTTGGTTCGATTCCCTTTCCTCCTTCAGATTTGGTTTGGTCTGTTTCAGTGCAATTTTTGTTTGTGTCCATATTGTTGAAGTTATGATCAAGAAGAAATTAATGGTAACGATTTCTGCCGAAGAGTTTGCTAAATTCCAACAGTATCAAGAGTCATTGATGGCATCATCCTCTAATCCAATTAATGTCATTGCTGATTCAGGTAATATCAATAAATGTCTTATTTCCTCCACGTCAAAATGGGTCGTCATGTACTGTGGTGCTACGAATCATATGTCAGGTAACCCCAATTTATTTGCTACATTTTCACCATCTACATCTTTACCTGATGTTACAATAGCGGGTGGCACCACTTCTCCTGTTCTTGGCTCTGGTACAGTTCATCTCTCCAAAACTCTTTCATTGACCTCTGTTTTAAATTTGTCACAATTTTTTTTTTAATTTGATCTCTGTCAGTAAACTTACTCGTGATCCCACAATTATTCTTTCCTAGTTATTGCTTATTTTAGGATCTTACAAAGAAGAAGACCATTGGTAAAGGGCGTGAATCTGATGGCCTTTATATGTTGATACACAAATACCTACAGCCACCGTTTGCACTCGAGTGCCAACTCCTTTCGAAGAACATTGTCGTTTGGGTCATCCATCTCTCTCCGTGTTAAAGAGTCTCCATCCTCAATTTCATAGTTTGCATTCTTTAGATTGTGAGTCATGTTAATTTGCTAAGTTTCATCGTCTCAGTTCCTATTCTAGAGTCAATACACGAGCTAATGCTCTTTTTGAATTAGTCTATTCTGATGTTTGGAGTCCTTGTCCTATTGAGTCCAAAAATGGATTTCGGTATTTTGTTACTTTTATCGATGATTTCTCTCAAGTAATTTGGTTATATTTGATGAAACATCGTTCTGAGTTACTTTCTCATTTTCGTAACTTTCATGCTGAAATTCGAACTCAATTTGGTGGCTCTCTTAAAGTTCTACGAAGTTATAATGCTAAGGAATATTTTTCTGGTGCTCTTGGCTCCTATTTAAGTGAACATGGTATTATTCATCAATCCTCGTGTGTTGATACTCCGTCTCAAAATGGAGTTACAGAAAGGAAAAATAGACATCTTCTCGAAACAGCTAGGGCCTTCATGTTTCAAATGCATGTTCCAAAATACTTTTGGGCTGATGCTGTTCCGACGACTTGCTTTTTGATTAATCGCATGCCTTCATCAGTTCTTAAGGGTGACATACCTTATCGTACTCTGTGTCCAACCTTTATTTCCTATTAAACCTAAAATATTTGGTTGCACTTGTTTCATTCGGGATGTTCGCCCCCAACTTACCAAATTAGACCTTAAGTCATTGAAATGCATTTTCCTTGGTTACTCTCGTGTTCAAAAAGGATATCGATGTTATTGTCTTGATCTCGATAGATATCTTGTCTCTCCTGATGTTACGTTCTTTGAAGATACTCCTTTTTCATCGTCCTTGAGTACTAGTCAGGGAGAGCAGTCACACGAAGATGATACCTTTCTTGTTTATTCTATTGTCTTTACTTCTACTGAAGAGCTTCCTAACAATACATCTCCCTCTGCGCATAATCCTTCTCTCCCCACTATTACTCAAGTTTATTCTCGTCGGCAACCTCCTACGGACTCATGCCCTATACCGGCAGCTTCTTTGCCTGTGGATCCAGGAACGAGTGATGACCTTCCTATTACCCTTCAAAAAAGGTAAGCGTAAGTGTACATATCCTGTTTCTTATTTTGTTTCATATAACATTTATCATCATCTACTTGTTCATTTATTGCATCCCTTGAATCTGTATCTCTTCCTAAAACTGTTCATGAAGTTTTGTCTCATCTTAGTTGGCGGGCTGCTATGTTGGAGAAGATGACCGTCTTAGATGACAATGGTAATTGGGATTTAATGTCTCTTCCTATAGGAAAGAAACCTATCGGTTGTAAATGAGTGTTTGCTGTTAAAGTTCATCCGGATGGATCAATTGCCCGTTTGAAAGCTCGCCTTGTTGCTAAAGAATATGTGCAGACTTACGGAATTGATTATTCTGATACTTTTTCTCCGGTTGCTAATTGGCTTCTGTCAGGTTATTCATTTCCTTGGCATCTATTCACCACTGGCCCTTGCATCAGCTTGATATTAAAAATGCATTCCTCCATGGTGATCTTCAAGAAGAAGTGTATATAGAGCAACCACCAAGTTTTGTTGCTTAGGGAGAGAATGGAAAGGTACGTCGCCTTCGTAAATCCTTATATGGGTTGAAACAAAGTCCGCGAGCATGGTTTGGAAAATTCAATCAGGTGATTGAAAATTTTGGAATGAAGAAGAGTAAGTCAGATCATTCTATTTTTATAAAAGATCCGAGTCTGGTGTTATCTTACTAGTTGTATATGTTGATGATATTGTGATTACTGGTAATGATTCATCAAGCATCCTATAACTCAAGTCTTTTCTTCATAGTCAATTTCATACTAAAGATTTGGGAATGTTGAAATACTTCTTAGGAATTGAGGTAATAAGGAGCAAGAAGGGGATCCTTCTGTCACAAAGAAAGTATGTACTTGGCTTGTTAACTGAAATGGGAAAATTAGCTGCTAAGCCACGTAGTACTCCAATAATGCCTAATTTACAACTTACAAAAGAAGGGGAGTTGTTGAAAGATCCTGAGAAGTATAGGAGGTTAGTAGGGAAGCTGAATTACCTTACCGTTACTAGGCCAGACATAGCTTATTCAGTCAGTATTATGAGCCAGTTTACGAGTTCTCCTACGACTGACCATTGAGCCGCATTGGAACATATTCTATGTTATTTGAAAAGTGCTCCTGGATGTGGTTTGTTATATAAAAATCATGGTCATCTTAATATTGAATGTTTTTCAGATGTTGATTGGGCAGATTCTAAGGAAGATAGGAGATCAACTTCAGGATATTGTGTATTTGTTGGAGGTAATTTAGTTTCTTGAAAAAGTAAGAAACAAAATGTGGTGTCACGTTCAAGTGCTGAATCAGAATATCGAGCCATGGCACAGTCAGTGTGTGAATTAGTATAGATATATCAGCTTCTTACTGAATTGAGATTTGGCATCACCACTCCAATAGAACTTTGGTGTGATAATCAAGCAGCTCTCCATATTGCATGACCATATTAAGATGGTAGCTACAGGATATGTACGTGAAGTTGATTGTCATTATGTACGTGAGAAAATACAGCAAGGATTGGTAGCTACAGGATATGTGAAGACTGGAGAGCAGTTAGGAGATATCTTCACTAAAGCATTGACTGGAGCATGGATAGATTCTCTCTCTAACAAGTTGGGCATGATTAACATATATGCACCAACTTGAGGGGGAGTGTTAGAGTATATATTAGTATATTTTACATTCTTGTAAATAATATTTATTCATTTGTTCTTTACCTTCCCCTTCTAAGATTAGGTCAACCTTGTATATTTGTCTATATATATAGACTTCAATAATGAGAATAAATCTATCTGGTTCTCTCAAACCTTAGTTTCTACACTTTTAACTCAAGATCTTGTTTTGAAACTGAAAATCTGGCTTAAACTTTGGCAGGTGAGGCCACTGCTCCTATCCCTTTCAATGGGGCAGTTTCTTAAACAATCATATAACAACACTGGCATTAAGGTAAATTCAAAGAATTTAAGTTTCCAAAATGATCATGTTCATTCTCTTCGTAGTTTATTATCAAACCAATGAAATTATCACCAAACATTGACATCTTATAATTTTAGAAATATTGTATATGAAAAACTATTTGAAGGTAGTGGACCTTGGTTAACAAATTTTTATGTAAAAAGTTTTTCTAAATTGCCCCTGTTGACTTGACCCCAAATCCCCAAGTCACTTGTCTAAAAGCAGGAAACTTTACCAGTATGGTCAATTACAATAATATTTTCAGATAATTTCTGATTTTAGTTAAAGAACCCGTAGAAGAAAATGAAAGAATACATCATACATGACTTTAAAAAAGTATCTAGATATAAGAAAATACATAAACATAGTTCAGAGGTTGCTATTTCTATGTAATTTTTCCATTTCATCCATGAAAAAATATATCTCCTCTTTAACTAAAGAAGTACTAGAATAACATAGTTCCGAGCTTAACATGAAGTCCCCAATCACTTTGTAAAATTTTTAAACAAAATAAAAAGATGAAAATAAAAATAAGACGGAACAAAAGAATCAAAGATGTTGCAAGCAACCACCTGACCGGACCTAATCCAACATTGTCAACATTGGTTCCGGGCAGATTTTAGACGGTAGAGTTGATGCTTTGGATCAGATTTTGAGACACTCGACCTTTTTGATGGGGCTTTAGTGTTGTATTCTTTTGTAGAGGAGCAGTAGGGGACCTCGTCATCTTTATTGGAGCTGCCTTTTTGTCTCATTGGTTTGGGACTGTTCTTTTTTCTTTTCAAACTTTTGGAGTTTGTTTGGCTCACCCTAGTGGGTGTTTGGACATGATGGAGGAGACTCTTCATCCCCTTCTTTGTGGGGGCAGGTTTTTTAACTGTTTTGTGGGGGCTGAGGATTGAGAGGAAAAACAGGACTTTTAGAGGAGTTGAAAGTTCTGGGGAGGTGGTTTGAGATCTTGTTAGATATCATCTCTCTTTGGGTTAATGCATCCAAAGTGTTTTTTGTAACTACTCCATTTTCACTTTAATAAGGAATGATATGGAACCCCTCAATATATATGGCACGCTTTATGCTTGATTAGAGACCGTTTTTTTAGTTTGGCTATTTTTGTTGGGCTTTTTTTATGTGCCCTCCTATTTTTCTTTCATTTGAAAACCCAGGTTTTCATTTAAAAAAAAAAACAATTTCGATCCCCTGTTGTTACAGTTTAACAAATCAAAGGAATGAAATCAGAGTATGGTGTCTAGCATAACTTAAAAAACTGAGAACCATACTCCAAAAAATGGAGATGGATTGGGAAATCTCATCCCTTCAAAGTAACTTTTCAATCCAATCTTTATCCCTATTCTATGGAACTCACAAATCTATCTTCTAATTATTGTAGACTTTCACCCTTTCTCTTCTACTCTACTCACTATTATTAAATAACATAACAATAAAATTGGTTAGAGTATGGAAGGGGTACTATGGTAATTATGATATGTCTATTCCTATTCCTATTCCTAAGGTAAATAAACAGCACGGATAGAAATTTTGATTTTGATTTCAGAAAATTTCAATAAACAATGGGATTTCATTATGATGTCATACAAAATCCTCAACTATCTTACCTAAACAGACATAAAGCGCTCATAATACTTCTTAGGCCTTAATAACTATGCAGAAAGTCACTTTCTTACCAAAATTCCCATTATTGTGGCACAGAATGGAGCAGTTAAAAGGAATGTGGCACCCATGGTTGATATAAACATCATATTAATATCCTTACCTTCAAGATTTAAACGTCTAAAGACCTCTGTGACAACAAAAATCTTATTTCTTTACCTGTTGAACAATCGGATTTGTTGATGTAGTAAATTCATGAGTCATTCCTTGCCAGACAACTTTCCCCTCGTATAAAAACAATAACCTACAAATTTATCAAGTTTTTTTCAGTTAAAGGACTTGCTAGTGATATCATTCATAAATACGCAGTAGGAACTCATAACGGGAGTTAAAATTGTAACCTGTCAACAGCTCTCCTAATGGTACTATGTTGGTGGGTGACTACAATATAGGACGCAATATTTCCGGGCTTCCCGCTAGCATCTTCGCCCTTAATATGTACAGAACGGATAAGATCTTCAACGACAGTTGATGCAATTGGATCGAGTCCAGCAGTTGGTTCATCATACAAGAGTACCTGGTTAAAATGAGTAATCACAGTCAGTGTGACACAGTGCACAAGGCCTAAAAAAGATGTCATTACTGTATTAAAGTAAATCTAGTAATCTACGAGCCAATGCTATCCCATACAAGCAAAACCGTCAGCTACTACGCAAGATTATTGTTGTAACCTCAGGAGCATCACACATGTTATGGCAAGAAGTTATTTGAGCGGTTTATCAAACAGTTCAATGAACAAAAAGACCCTTTTTTGAACAAGAAACGAGACCTTCAATTGATATAATGAGAGAAAAAATGTTCAAAAGTAGCAAATAAGGAAAAAAAAAAAGAGAAAAGAACAAAGTAACTGAGGCTATGAAAGCAAGTCGATTAATACAAATATCCAGAAAGGAGTAACCAACAAATAATTTAGAAAGAAACCAATATTGTAAAGTCTTGAATTTGGAAATATCAAACTGCTGTAACCAACACTGCTGCTTATTTCTCAAAAACCCTTAGATTAAGCTCGAACCAAATCTCAAATGGGAGATGAAGAAGACTGCTAAATATAACAAAAGATCAAATTAATACATAGTGACTAAGACCCTTCAAATATTCCTATAACCCAGTGATGTAGGACAAAAGAAAATAAAATGGATGCAATAGATAGAAGTACAGAGAAGTAGACAGGAGAATAGAGGAGAGAGGAATTAGAGGGAGAATTCAATAATACCATAACAATCTCAAAATCCAAGTTTGACTATTTTATAGACCACCAAGTCCATTGGAAACCAAAATAAGATGAATTCATATAAAATCAGAACTAAACATAGAATCAACTATCAAGTCTAACATCACCAGAAAAAGTAATTTAAAATGTCCACAAGATGTTCGTTTTCATATGAAACACTGCTGTTTAAAATTGTACCTGGACCTATGAAGCAGAACAGTGAATACATAAAAATAACATGATAATTAACAATCTAACATAAATTGATTGATGGGCTGAAGAAACACGTCATGGTTTTAACTTTTACCTGGTAGTAGCATAAATAATAAGAAAAAATACTGAAGGAAAAGAAATAAAGGAGACACCTCTGGCTCAATTTCTTTCCTTGTGTTATCAAAGATTATAGACCTAGCTAAAGCAACTCGTTTCTTCATTCCACCTGATAATTCAGAAGGTAACCGATCCTCAACTCCCTAAAAAATTAAAAGGTTAAAAATGGAAATATCAGAAAATTTTGAAGCACTGCCTACAAAGAAACATAGTAGAGATTTGAGGATGTGTAAGCAAGAAATCTCAGCTGGTTACATTGATAGATAGAGATAGTTGTGAAGCTATAGTAGGAAGAGTTTGATAGCAAGAGAACTTGGAAACTACAAGATGACTATCATTTGCTAAGCATGCATCATCATATAAATAAATGCTAGGCAAACCTTCAGCCCAACAGCAGCTAAATTCTCAGTTACCAGAGCTGAGATTTGATCTCCAGACAAGCTTGAATTTTCATACCTAACATAGTAAACAAGAATAGGAATGAGATGGACACCTTATTCTAACTACCCACCCTTTGGCAGATAATACTAAAAGAAAAAACAATCGTGGTGAGAATTTTTGAAGAAAATGAAGTCTCTTACAAAAGGAAACCAACATTTTCTCGAACAGTTAATGAGTCAAAAAGGGCTGCACTTTGAAAAACCTACAAACACAGAAAAAGGAACTGAGGAAAATTTAAAAGATAAACAAAAGAAACTTAATGGCTCATGTGATTTATGATCCAAAAAAAAAAAGTTTCTAGAGTCATGAAAAATAAGACAAATAGGGTTATATATGAAACTTCTGAAAATCGATAGTGCTAGGATCTTGAATAGTATTCTTATAATATACTAGTGTCAAAATAGTTCTTCAAAAACAATTTTAGATATTTAAACATGAAGGTTTACTAGTTGGCCTAACTCAAATATTATATTTTCAATTAATTGATATTACTTTTACATTTTTAATTAGATTTTTTTTATATTTATGTTTAAAAAGTTAAAATTATTTATAATTTTGAAATTCAGTTAATTTTATCACATCTGCTTAATACAAGAATTTAAAAAAAAAAAAAAATTGAAGAAAGAAAATGAAATCTGAAAACACAAAAAAGGAACAACCTCTTAATGCTCTCTAAAATTCCTCAATTCTTTAAATTTATAACATTTTCACAATTTTCAGATTCAAAAAGGCGTGTTCCCTATTCTCATTGTATTACACATTTCTATAAAAAAGTCATTCTTCATATAACTTCTAGAATTACATTCAAATTAAGGAGAATTCTACCAATCCAATTCGAAGACCAGATATCTCCTCATCATCGATCAAACCAACTCGCTTTCTACCTCGAATATATACCTCACCCTGTTCACAATACCAGAAAATCCAATTAGGAGAACCATATTTTATCGTTTGCCTTGAAAATGTATAATTCAACTAAACATCAGCTAAATGCAATGTGAAATCAAAGACAGTTATTCACCTTGTCTGGAGCAAGAAGACCGGCAATGATCTTCAGTATTGTAGACTTCCCAGTACCAGAAGGCCCAATTACTCCCACGGCTTCTCCATGTCTAATCTATACAAATAAAAATGAGAGAGGAAGTCTAAATATTTTTTTAAAGATAATGAAAATTACTACACAAAAAAGCAGGGATGGAGCTGATAGAAGAGCTGTGAGAATTTTGATGCAGGGTAACTAGTTTTCTTCTAGATTGTCGCAATTTCGCAAATGAAGCTGAAGAAGAAATGAAACCAAGCTAGGAAACAGTACAACACTACATAATTATATGAGATTCAATTAATAATTAAGACAGAAGGGCGACAACACTGGAAATGCAAATCAATCTCAAAACTTCCTTCCGTCTTTGGAAGCAGTGCATTTACATAAAGGATAATATGCATGATACTGGCATACTTCTCCACTAACAAGATGACCATTTATCCCTTCCATGATTGTTTTATCTCTTTTCAAGTTGAAAAACCGTCCAAAGGTAGCTGATGATGGATTTTTTTTTTTTTTTTAAACTTTTCCATTTAAAGTAGGAAACAATTTTCGGAGAACGAAAAGAATAAAAGCCTTGAAATAGAGGCAATGGGACCACATGACAAATTTCCCATTTATAACTAGAGAAAAAAATGGATTGAAATAGAATACACCAAAAGGAGGCAAAGTAAATGATTAAATCCCAAACATCCTCCAGCTGCCTCTTAGCCTCATGAACAGTCTTCTATGCATGATTCTGTATTTCTCTGGATGGCCACTAAGAAGTTAAAAACATCAAACAGATTCCACCATACATAGAAGAGGGGCAGGAAGGGGATACGTAATCAGAATCTTCCTATTTTCTGCACAGAATACAGAAATTGGCAAGAGGACTCTAGCCAAATTTCTCTGATGGGCCTCACCATTAGTAATAATACCACCAAAGGCCAACAGAACATTAGAAAAATTTGAACTTACTAGGAACCTTCGTCCTCCAAATAATCATACAAAGGTCAATATTTATGCCTCTGTCCCCCAACACCAGAAAATCAACAGAGATCTGACAGAAAATTAACCCAGGCTATCCAACTACTATACTCTTGAGCCTAGTAGATCAATAGAGATTTGGATATCACAAATCTTGCACACCCATTCCTCACACTCTATGTCATATAACAAACTATTATGATTATTAAACATTCAGCCATCTCTCGAAGCATTTCAAACGTCTTTATTTATTTATTTTGATAAGAAACTTCAGAGATCTATTAATCACAAAAACAAAAAAGCCTAAGGGGAAGGGGATGAGAGGGCCCCTCCCCGAAGAGGACTACAACAAGATCCCTCTCCAATTTTGGAGAATCGAAGAAAGGGAGTAGTTACAAAAGAATTTGGTGTAGAAAAGCACCATCTGGAGATAAGCAACTGTACATTACTCCAAAGAGTACTCAAATCTAAGCGAGTTCTCTAAAGATCTTCGGTTCCTCTCCAACCAAATATTCCACAAAAAAGCCACCACCATATATAAACCAAACCGGTCTTTTAGCATTGTTTAAGCTGCCACCCGTTAAACATTGAGAGAGCCAATTATCCACTTTTTCTGTAACACAAAGCTGCAACTTAAAGAAATCAAGGATCTTTGACCAGCCTCGATAAGTGAGGGGTAGTGGAGGAAAAGGTGATCCAAGGATTCAGCTGCTTTGTGACATAGAGAGCAAATAGAGGGGGAAAGAGCCCAACTTTTGCCTCTCTTCTGTATGTGGTCGTGTGTGTTGACTCCTCTTTGAGCGAGGGACCAAAGAAAGACTTTTATCTTATCGGGATATTTTAGCTTCCAAACTGCCAAGAGGAGGGGGGTTTGGACCACATTACAGGGTTTAATCATCTTCAAGAAGGTAGCTAAAGTTGTAAGGACACCCAATGGATCTATACTCCATATTGTCCCATCTTTGGGATCCCCTGGTCTAACTATGTCCAGTTTCTCAATCAAGCCCATCCAACTACTAAGCTCTCTGTCGAAGAGATCCCTTCGGAAGCCTAAGTCTCAATCCTGTTGCTCCTTTTCCAACACTGTTCTATGGAGTCCTCCTTTCTATTGGAAAAGGAGAAGAGATCTGGAAAAGCTAGCTATAGTGGCTCGTTACCAATCCAAGTATCTCTCCAAAATCTAATTTTAGAGCCATTATTCACTTTGAAAGACAGGAACTTCATAAAAAGATGGGTGTTCTTAACAATATCACACCCAGGACGCCCTTTTGCCACTCCTTCAGAGATGTTAGTTTTCCAGCCGAGAGGTTGGGTGTCGTAGATACTATCTATTATGCGGCGTCAAAGTGCATCTTCTTCATGAATAAATCTCCACAGCCATTTCATTAGGAGAGCATTGTTCTGTTGTTTGAAAGAGCCAATGCCTAACCCACCGTGCAGGGGGGAGAGAGGTCCATTCCCATTTAACTAGGTGACTACAAAGGTGAAACCCCTCCGTTCCAGAAAAAATCCCTTACCACCTTCTCCATCCTTTTGATGACGCCCTCTGGAGCTTTAAGGAGAAGAAGTAAAGGGGCAGGCTGTTTAGAACCGATTAGACCAAAGTCAGACGGCCTCCTTTAGAAAGGGGCAAATTCTTCCACTTGGTGAGCCTTCACTTAAACTTCTCCACCATAGGATCCCACGAGCTAATATTCCGAGCATTTCTTCCCAAAGGGAAGCCCAGGTACTGAAAAGGCAAAGCTTCATCCTATGAAATCAGCATTTGAGAACCACTCAGTCTCCTCCTCCACGTTTATGCCATTCAGCGAAGTCCAAGTTGATGAACAGTCCCACAGAAAACAAGAACGGGGATATGACCTCCCACCAGGCCTTGAGATATTCTGACTTAGCTTGAGAGAAAATGATGGTGTCATCTGCGTGCTGCAGATGAGTTAGAGCCACCTGCTTCGAAGTGAACTAAGCAGCTAAAGGCATCTCCTATCGAAGTGAAGAGGAAGGGCAAGAGCGGGCACTCCTGCCTAGGCCCTCGGTGAGCTAACATTTTCCCTCTAGGCTGACCATTTATAAAAACTGAGAAGTTAGTCGTCTCTACACAGCCTTTAATCCAATGACACCATCTAAGACTAAAGCCTTTTTTACCCAACACATCAAGTAAAAAGTTCCGATCTAACATGTCGTAAGCCTTCCCATAGTCTAGAGCTCAAGAATGTACCCCTTCTTTTTTTTTTTGCCTTGCAGTCCCCTATAGCTTCTGATAGGTACAGAATAGCATATAAAATATTAGGGTAAAATTGTAAATAAATATGATGCATTTCAAGCATCTTTATTACTGCTTTTTTAACTATCACTCACATTAGACAACCTAATGAAAGCAGAACAAAAAGAAATGTTACCCAACCACTGTCCTAAAATCTGGCAATCGGACTATCCCCAAGAGCCAGAGTCAGACTTCATGATGATAATGATTGGAAATTGTAGAAAAGATGACCGAACAACTAGAGCATTTCCAAAGCGGTTTTCATTGACATGAACAGATATTAAGGATCCCTTAGTTTTAAATCTAGAGAAGACTAAAGCAACAAGGAAGAGAAACGTCCATGAAGGATCAAAAGTACACTAATAGCAGAAATACATTTGGAACTACAATAATCAACCATTCAATGATTACCTAAATTTCATATTATGGGATGTCTCATACAAACTATCTACTCATTATTTCTCTGCATTGCCAGCATGATTTCATAATTGAACAGCCATTCTAATTTTAAACATAGATCTTGGGCTGCAAAAATTGCATACTTCAGTAATGTAAATATTGGCGCTATCTTCATTTCCGCTACATTTTTTTTTTTCCAAAAATGAAACAAAGTTTTTTATTAATGGGGATAAATTACAAAAGTAAGAGAATCTAAGCCTACAAAGAGTAGACTTCAGAAAGAACACAACAATAATAAAACGAACTAACAAAAGAAAGACCAGAACGGAATCTGAAAACCAGAACAGCAAAATCTATAAAGCTACAAGAGAGCTACCCAATTATCACAAATAGCTTGAACAGAGTATCCCGGAAATAATTTGGACAGGGAGCACCAGGGAGAAGCTTTAATCTTGATAAACTCAAACCAATCCAACCATGAAGAAGATTAATTTTAAAAATTCTCTGATTTCTTCCAAAGCAAAGATCCAAAAGAATAACTTTGGAAGCGTTGATCCATAATAATCTGGCCTTGATGGGGTGATACAGAGAACAGAGTAGGTGATACACATTTGAACGAACATCCTTACCAAAAACCCAACTCATTTTGAAGATAGTGAATAACCAGCAGAAACTTGATAAAGAACAAAATAAAGGTGCTTTTTCAAGGAGCAAATAGATGGATGGAGATGAAGCCATTTTGAAGGAAACTGCTTATGCAAAATTTCTGATGAAATAACACTACCGAATAATAAAATCCAGATAAAAACATTAACCCTCCATGGGATTTGATTTTCAAAAAGCTGTAAAGAGAAATGATGTCATAGAAGATTGACCAACAGAGTTGAGATAAAAGGAATTCACCGAGAAAGATCCGGAAGAGACAAGCAGCCATATTTTGAAATCTGAGAGATTATTAGGATGACAATTGTAGAGACTAAGGTTGGAGAGAATCCAATGTGATTTATTCTCATTATTAAAGTCTATATATATAGACAAATATACAAGGTTGATCTAATCCTATAAGGAGAAGGTAAAGGAAAAATTAATACAAGAATATAAAATATACTAATATCTATACTCTAACACTCCCCCTCAAGTTGGTGCATATATATTAATCATGCCCAACTTGTTAGACAAACAATCTATTCGTGCTTCATTCAATGCTTTACTAAAGATATCTCCTAGCTGCTCTCCAGTTTTTACATATCCTGTAGCCACCAATCCTTGCTGTATTTTCTCACGTACATAATGACAATCAACTTCAATATGTTTGGTTCGTTCATGAAATACTGGATTAGATGCAATATGAAGAGCTGCTTGATTATCACACCAAAGATTCATTGGAGTGGTGATGCCAAATCCCAATTCAGTCAGAAGCTGATGTATCCATACTAATTCACACATCAAATGTGTCATAGCTCTATATTCTGATTCAGCACTCGAACGCGACACCACGTTTTGTTTCTTACTTTTCCAAGAAACTAAATTACCTCCGACAAATATACAATATCCTGAGGTTGATCTTCTATCTTCCTCAGAACCTGCCCAATCAGCATCTGAAAAACGTTCAATATTAAGATGACCATGATCTTTATATAACAAACCACGTCCAGGAGTACCTTTCAAATAACATAGAATATGTTCCAATGTGATCCAATGGTCAGTCGTAGGAGAACTCATAAACTGACTCATAATACTGACTGGATAAGCTATGTCTGGCCTCATAATCGTAAGATAATTCAGCTTCCCTACTAATCTCCTATACTTCTCAGGATCTTTCAACAACTCCCCTTCCTTTGTAAGTTGTAAATTAGGTATCATTGGGGTACTACGTGGTAGCAGCTAACTTTCCTGTTTCAGTTAACAGGTCAAGTACATATTTCCTCTGTGATAAGAGAATCCCCTTCTTGCTCCTTATTACCTCAATTCCTAAGAAGTATTTCAGCACTCCCAAATCCTTCATATGAAATTGACTATGAAGGAAAGTTTTGAGTGATAGGATGCCTGATGAATCATTACCAGTAATCACAATATCATCAACATATACAACCAGTAAAACAACACCAAACTCAGTTTGTTTATAGAAGACAGAATGGTCCGACTTACTCTTCTTCATTCCAAAGTTCTCAACACCTAACTGAATTTTTCAAACCATGCTCGTGGACTTTGTTTCAACCCATATAAGGATTTACGAAGACGACATACCTTTCCATTCTCCCCCTGAGCAACAAAACCTGGTGGTTGCTCTATATACACTTCTTCTTGAAGATCACCATGCAGGAAGACATTTTTAATATCAAGCTGATGTAACGGCCAATGGTGAATAGATGCCAAGGAAATTAATAACCTGACATATGATTTGTCGCACCAGAGTCAATGACTCATTTTGAAGCGGAGAAAATAAGACATTTACTGGTGTTACCTGACTCAGCGATGACGGTAATCGGATTAGAGGACGATGTCGTCAATGACTCTCGATACTGTTGGAACTTAGCAAACTCTTCCGTAGGAATTGTAACTAACTTGCCAGCATTATCAGGAGTAGATGCAACATGTTTTCTGACCTTTATTCAATAGCTTTCTAAATACTCGTTTTGTATGACCAGGCTTATGACAATAATTGCAAATAATAATATCTCCTTAATTTGATTTTGGAGCACTAGAATTCCAACGTTGAGCGTTCGAAGTCGTGGAACTCCCTTGGTAGGTATTACCTCTGTTTGCATTTGTACTACGTCCAACCAAAACTGAGATGACAAGACGGGTTGTGACTTCTCAACTCGAAGTACTCGAGTGTGTGCCTCCTCTAAAGCTGAAATTTCTGAACCAGAGAGTAATTGGTCTTTGGCAACATCAAATCTAGGTGGAAGACCAAGAAGAAAACTGATAACTGCTAGTTATTCGCGTTGGGAAAGCCGAACTTTTGCATCATTACTATCTGGGAGTAATGCATTAAACTCTGCATAAATTCGTTTGTGTTCCATAAAGTAATTTGTAAGCGATTGGTCACCAAACTCAGGTTGGTAGAAGCGCTTGCAGATTTCAAATATTCGACTAACATTTCCTTTTCCAGAATAAAAGAATTCTAAATATTTAAGCAACTCTTTAACATACTCACTCATTAACCAAGCCAATAATGTCACCCTCGATCGAATTCTTGATCTGCAGAACCAGTCAAGCATCATCCCACAACCAAGCTTTCTTGCTCTCATCCTCAGGCGGATCCTCAGTTATGTGATCGTCCATATCAATACTTCGCAAAAAAAGACGAACATTGATTTTCCATGAAGAATAGTTTGATCCATTCAACTTGTGTTCTGTGATTTTTGATATCATTGGGATCACCTCAGAAGTTACGATTGATTTCTTCTCAGCCATCACAAACAAACAAACTTATTTGAACAAAACAACAAAACCAGACCAAACCACCCGAACCAGACAAAACAGATGAATCAAACTGCTTGAACCAAACCAGATGAACCAAACCGCTTGAAACCAAACCGGTTGAACTGGACCGCTTGAACCGGACCAGGTGTTTTCTGAAACCAGAAACGCTAAGTGCTACCCCACAACAACCAGAGGGGCGAAGGAGACGGGTGGCGACTGGCGGTGACGGAAGCGCACGGCGATAGCGATAGTAGTGAGTTGAGATGGATAGCAATGAACAAAACCCTAATGGAGAAAACCCTAATGGACACAAAACCCTAATGGACACAAAACCCTAATGGGCATCAAAACCTAAGTTCAAAAAAAATTTTAGAATAAACCTAGAGCTCTGATACCATGTAGAGACTAAGGTTGGAGAGAATCCAATGTGATTTATTCTCATTATTAAAGTCTATATATATAGATAAATATACAAGGTTGACCTAATCCTATAAGGAGAAGGTAAAGGAGAAATTAATACAAGAATATAAAATATACTAACACCTATACTCTAACAACAATCATTGAGAAGAAATAAAAGCTCACTGAATTTGAGCTATTTCTTCATCCTTTAAATTACTTTGCAGCACAATATTCCAAGAATTATTTGAAGAATCCTAGCAATCTGAAATTGATCAATTTTGGTTAATAACCAATCTGAAAATAGCAGCAAATCTGGAGGAAGAGGCTGATTGGCAATCCAACTATCTTTCCAAAAAAGAATTCCATTTCCAGAACCCAGTTTGAAAGAAGATTGGGAGTCCACTTGATTTCGGAGCTACTAAATATTCATTCAATAGCTTTTATAACTCCCTGAACTCTTTTAAGTTTAAGACCAACCAAAATTCCGAACACCATAGATATCTTTGGAGCTCCAAATCAATTTAACCAAGCTGCAATCTATAGACTACAATTTTGTTTCCTGAAGAAGTACAGCCTCAGGACTCTGATTAAGAATAGTGCCTTCAACTTAAGACTCTTATTTGGATCTCCAAGGCCCTTGACATTCCATGGAAGAATTTCCATTGCTGATTGAAAAAATGCCCTTGCTTCTACTTCAGGTAATGTATTGAGAGGACCAGGTTCCCGCTCTCTCTCTGTAATATTTTTGGGACACACGAATCGAACTTAGGCTTGATAGGAATTAATGAAATTTCTGATTTATCAAAAAAATCAGCAACACCATTCTTACAAGATATGGAATTAAAACCGGTTGCTCTTGCAATGCATTCGGATTTCTGTCATTAATAGTTCTTGGGGAGGAAGATTCTGAGAAAAGGTTTCTAATATCTTCTTAAATATTCTCAATAACATGAAAAATTGGAGCGGCAGGAATATTAATAATAAAATCCTCATTTTCAATCCTCATCAAAGTAAAATACTGAAGCCCTACACTATTCATCAACAAAAAACTGAAACCACAAGTTGAATTAGCATGCTAAAATATACTGCAGCGCAGATATTGAACATGACAGAAAAGCCTACATGGTTTCATTTGATTACCATATCCATGGGAGAGAGAAGATAAGAATTCTTTTACAGTTTTTTCTATGGCACGAAACATCTATTAATAACAACAATTTATTTGATAATCTGGCAAATAAAGAACCATTCAGTACAACGGTACAGGGTTTTCATTCCCATGACAGTGTGACTCAATAACCACTAATGAGATTAAGCAAAGCTTACTAAATTAGAATTAAAAGTGGTGCATTCGGACAAATATGTAAGCATGAAAGCACAGAGAAAGGTAATGGAAGTGTACATAGAGCACTTGTAGTGTTCATGGCCTTGGCTAAGATATCCCCTCTACAAAGAACTGAATGTTCGACCATTACCTTGTTTTCTGGGCCAAAAAGAAATTGCTAATATCTATATGTCATCAAAAGCAAGCAATTGCATAACACTGAAAAAATAAAGGACCTAAATATGCAGAAATATGAATCACCTTGAAGCTCACACCTCTCAGTATATGCTTTTCCCCAAAGGATTTGTAGACATCTCTACACTCGATGAGAACATCAGACTCATCCTCATGCTCATTATCTGGGATTAAATTTTCTGATCTAAACGAGTCCTGATAATGTCTAATATTAATCAGAATATACAAATGATAAATATATCAAAAATTAAAATTAAATTCATAATGTAAGGAGAGACTTATTTTTGGCATCAGACATGAGGACAGGACAGAAATATTAAACGAATAACGAATGAGACTAAAATCATAAAATAAAATAAACTCACTGAAGGCAAATCCATAGTCAAAGTAAACAATGCCAGAAAGTATTTAAGTCTAAACGCTAATTATGGATGCTTAAATTGATAGCTAAGATGCCAATAAAATGATAAAACACTATGAACAATGAGATTTTGTCACATGTCGGACGGCTCAAGGTGAAAAGGACTGGAATACTGAACTTGAAATAAACTGCGAGCAACAATAACAATTAAACAGGAAGAAAGAGTGAAAAGTTAGGAAAATCAGAGTTCAAAGACAAACTAAAACATCAATCACAAGAATAACAGCATCCAAAATTCAATTGTGAGTATCATCTAACACAATCGTAGCAATTCAGATTAGGGGAAGCGACCAATTTAAAGAACGATCAAATGCAAGAAAGTAATGTATCAAATCCAATAAATAGGACACCAAAAACTGGAAAACAGAAAAAAAAATAAAAATGAAAAAGTGAATGATGTACATTGGAATTTACGGCAGATGACTCATCACTCTTGAAGTACGGCGGTGGCGCAATGCAATTACAAACAATCCTCCTCTGCTCCTTTTTCTTAAAACAAAACGAATTGGACGCATCAAGAACAGCTACTTTACGCGATCCAGAGGAACAATTGGGTGCAGTTAATGGGAACAACACCGAACCCGATATAGAAACCATGTTTCCGGAGTCAACCCGTTAGAGGGTAAACGAACTTCGTGATTTTGAAGCTGACCCGCGATAGTAACCAGCTCAAAAACAGTTTCGTACTAATTTAGTTTCAATGCAATCGAAACTTCATAAATTCGAAGAACCCAGATAGGATTTTGAACAAAACCCCCTCAAAAGCCGATTAAATCCTGCATCTCAAGCTAAACCGAGGATGGTTTAACGAATTGTGCTTCAGAATGAACGCTAAATGCTACAGAGGTCGCCCAGAAAAAGATTTGGAAACGTGAAAGAACAGAGATGGGAGCAGAGCATTGTTAAGAATTCTCAAACTTGATGTGCTTGCTGATTGATTCTCCGTCGCATTCTTGCCGCGGTGACGTGATGAGGTGGGCTTGCAATGAGACGTTAGCCCTGTTCCTCTTTCCAATATAATTCTCTTATACTATGATAAATACACGACCTATAAATCTTAATCTTAATCAGCTGAGAAGAATTTTAATATTCCAAAATATTGGATTCTTTTAAAAAAAATAATAGGAAAAAGTAGGGTTCTAATGATAAATAATTCGACACTGAAGTATGTTAAACCAATAAATTCCTATTTTTATCGACTCGAATATGTTAAATACATTCCTATTTTTTTTATCTCTTTTGTCCCTCAATTTTATAATTATGATATGATAATTAGATTAATTTTCTATTATCTCACTCTCCTTCATTCTCTTTACATTTTTCAATCAACAAAATTGATTTTTTTAAATAAAACATTTAGTCATATGATAGAAAAAAATGCAGCAAAATAAAATAAAATGATGAAAATAGTTACTTTTCAAAGTATAAAGATAGAGATAGACGTTTCAAAAGTACAAACACGAAAATACAAATATCAAAAAATACAATCACTAAAATAAACTACAATTGAAAATACTTAGACAAAATATTTTGTATTACCATTACCAAGTGTACACAATTTTCTTTTGACAAAAGTAAAGTATATTGCAAGAAAAATGAATCTCACCGCCTAAGATGAAGGCCTAAGTAAAACAAAATTCTATAAAAAATTGGGAAAATAAAATACTAAATATAAAACAAAACTAAATATAATTGAACCTATCAGATCAAAAATTGGGAAAATAAAATACAAATCGTAAGTTCAACTTTGTCTAGTTTGGACTGCTGGCTTGGTTCAATTTTGCACATCAAAATTGGAGATATTGTTAATAGTTATTACAAAATGAGGAAATACATATGTTAAGTAATAGTAGGTGCATTTCAGAAAGAATACGTTATAGCTTTGATCTGATCCAAGACTATTCCATCAATGGTTTGTTTCACACGTTCTTAAACCACTCGTGTTCTCCAAGAGAAGGATGGACTTCCCCAACTTTGCCCGCGAGTCTGGTCGTTCTGTTCATCTCACTTTACTGATTCTCCCAGCATGCAACCTCAATGCCCTTTCGAGCCTAGTAACGAAGCTGCAGACGATGAATTATAACAGAGTTATATGTTTATCTTTAACAATGCTTCTACGATACCAGAGGAAGGTAAGTGCCTACTAAAAACAGGTCATGAACAAAAATGCATGTAGTTCAAACAAGGATCAATAAGATGTTTAGAAAACTTATGGTCCACTTTTGTCAAAGTTTGATTTCATTTCTCATGAATAATTCTATGTAAACTTTGGGAGGTGGGATTGTCAACTACGTGGAGGAGCTGAGGTTGTGTCCTCGTAGTTGTATTAAACGAGAGAGACAACCRCCAGACCAAAAGCTCGGTTTCTCATTAAAAAAATAATAATAAAGAAGAAAGACCCAAGTATATGAAATAAAAATGAACTAAAATTCAATCTTATTTGAATTATCTAGCTGAGCTTCCAAAGCGCTCATTCCGAGAAAGATCAAGAAAGACATTGCTAGAAATGAGAACTTTTATAAAACACTTGGAGTTTTCATTTGATCCTCTATTGATGAACGCTGTCATTTCAAGCATGTTGTTCATTTCTTGATCTTCCTTGGGAAAAGCGGCTTGGAACCTTGACCGGGCAATTCATGTCACCTTCCCAATTCCATACATGGGGACCATCAAGAAGGAAAAGATATTTTTAATGAAGACTGCACCTCTTTTGTTAAATGATCGTTCCAATAGCTGAGGCCGATTGATAGAAATCGAAGTCACAGCTCTTCCTCTTTCCTCAATTTTAACTCTACTTCACCTAAATCTTACATCAAGAAAATCTTAAAGTTCTTAGATTCCAGTTTGATCTACCCCACAATGCCATCCACTTCCACCCCCACCTCCCACTCTCCCTTCTCTCTCTCACTCATTTTCTCTTCAGCTAAATCCTCCCCCAATTTCATCCCCAAAAAAAAATTCTTACTTTTTCAAGATTCTGGATCATAGACAAAGTATCTAAATCAGAATACCACTAAACTTCAATTTGTATATTGGTGTATCACTATACACAACACATCATTGCCAATCAGTACCTCCGGAGGCAGAAATAAAAACAGAACAGCACGATTCATCTCAATAATTTGAAGATGAGTGGATGATAACCCCCTTTCATTTTGAATATTGCTCTCAGAATTCTCCACAACAAAACCTTGATATTGAACAACCTTTTACAGAGGAAGAGATTTGGCGAGCTGTCAAGGACTTAGGGACGAACAAGTCCCCTAGCTTGGATGGATTCACAGCCGAGTTCTATAAAAAATTTTGGAACATCCTCAAGGCTGACATCATGAGAGTGTTCCAAGATTTTTTTAAAACCGGAATTATCAACGCAAGCCTCAATGAAACATATGTTTGCCTCATCCCATAGAAGCTTGATGCCCAGAAGGTTGGAGACTTTCGCCCAATCAGCCTCATCTCTTGTTTATACAAGATTATTACCAAAGTTTTATCAGAACGATTAAAAGGCTTGCTGCCTCACACTATCACTAAGGAGCAACCAGCATTTGTTGTCAAGAGACAAATTCTTGATGCATCGCTCATTGCTATTGAACTTATAGAAGACTGGGACAGAACCAACAGAAAGGGAGAGGTTATCAAACTTGACATTGAAAAAGCTTTCGATAAGGTGGATTGGGATTTCCTTAATGCTGTCCTTAAAGCAAAAGGATTTGGATCCACTTGGAGAAGATGGATTAGGGGATGCATCTCCTCTGCAAACTATTCCATCATCATCAATGGTAGATCGAGAGGTAAGATCATCGCTTCTAGAGGCCTCCAGCAAGGTGACCTTTTATCCCCTTTTCTCTTTATCATGGTGGCTGACGTGTTTAGTAGATTGATGAATCAAGCAGCTGGCACAAACCTCATCAAAGGTTTTGACCTAGAAAATAACTCTTTGTAAGTCCACCTACAATTTGCAGATGACACCATTCTTTTCTCCCCTTTTGATGATCTCTCCCTCACAAACATGTTCGCCACTATTAGGCTTTTTGAGGAAGCTTCCGGTCTCAATATCAACCACCAAAAATGGGAGATTCAGGGGGTTAATTTGGACGCAAGCGAGCTAGATTCCATAGCTATAAATTTTGATTGCAAAAAGGGTTCATGGCCTAATACCTATCTCGGGCTTCCACTTCATGGCAATTATAGATCTCTATCATTTTGGGACCCGGTGGTAGAGAAAGTGAAGAAAAGATTACTCTCTTGGAGGAACTCGTTCATCTCAAAAGGGGGACGGCTTACCCTCATCCAAGCTACTCTCTCCAACCTACCCACTTATTATCTATCCCTTTTCCCTATTCCATCAGCCATTGCCCAATCTATTGAAAGTTTTATCAGGAATTTTCTTTGGCAGGGCAATCTCCAACCTACCCACTTATTATCTATCCCTTTTCCCTATTCTATCTGCCATTGCCCAATCTATTGAAAGTTTTATCAAGAATTTTCTTTGGCAGGGCAATCTCCACCTACCCACTTATTATCTATCCCTTTTCCCTATTCCATCTGCCATTGCCCAATCTATTGAAAGTTTTATCAGGAATTTTCTTTGGCAGGGCAATCGTGAACACAAAGGCACAAATCTTGTCAGGTGGGAGATTGCTCAACAACCGATTGAAGGACGAGGATTGGGTCTCAACAATATGAAGCTAATAAACAGGGTGCTCCTTGCTAAATGGATGTGGAGGTATTTAAAAGAAAGATCATCCCTTTGGAGGGAGGTTATTGAAGCAAAATATGGAATATCCACCTGGAATCAAAAACCGGTATCCTGCACTATACCGATCTCTAAAAGTCCTTGGAGAGCTATCATCAAATTACAAGATTTGATCTATGAACGGGTGACTAATGCTGTTGGTAATGGTTATGGTACTTCTTTTTGGAAATCCCCCTGGATTTTGGATGAACCTCTTGCAAACATATACCCCTCTTATATGCTCTTTCATCAAACAAAGGACTTTTGGTCGACTGAAACAGAAGCTTGGAATCTGGGATTAAGGAGAAATCTTAAAGAAGAAGAAATTGTTGAATGGGCAGCTCTCTCAAACATGCTTTCTCCAGTTTTTTTGACAGAGGAAGATGACACAGTCCTTTGGAGGATTGAACCAAACGGCAGCTTTTCAACTAGCTCTCTCACCAAAGATCTAACACACCAATCCCCAGCCTCTTCTACAAAACTATACAAAAGCATTTGAGAAGGCTTTTACCCTAAAAAAGTAAAATTCTTTCTTTGGGAGTGCAGCCACAGAGCCATCAATACCTCCAATAAGCTCCAAAGAAGAATGCCTTGTATGTCCATCTCACCTCACTGGTGCCCACTCTCCAGATCAGCCTTCAAATCAATACACCATTTATTTGTTTCGTGTACATTTGCATCAGCCTTTTGGAACTTCCTCCTCCTCTCGTTTGGATGGTACACTGCACTTCGCAGTGTACACTTTATCAGAGCATTTTTCTGGATAACATGGAGGGAGCGAAACAATTGAACATTCACCACGAAAGATCTTCCCTATGACAGGACTTTTGAGTCCATAGTTTCTTTTGTTATATCTTGGAGCAAATGTTCTCCCCTCTTTCACCACTATAGTTTTACCTCCCTATTTATCAATTGGAAGTCCTTCATGTAACCCTTTTTGGGTATTTTGTAATTTCATACCATCAATGAAATTGTTTCTTTCAACAAAAATTTTGCTCTCAGAATTCCTCTAAAAACTGGCAGGGAAATGTTGTCACTTCAAGGATTCCCCCTCCCCCTCTGGTGATGACATATAACCGTTTGTGCTACTTCTAATCAGAAATTAAGAGCCCAACAAGCAAGAGGTTATTAAATGTCTGCGGACTCTGCGTAAAAATAAAAACATGGATTTTTGCACTAGTAGTAAAAAATTTAGATCCCAATGAACAAGACATTATTTGATGTCTAGCCAAACATTGAACAAAATGCAAATGCAACGACAACGATGAAATGAGAACAAAAACCACAAATTAAAATACATAATGAAAACAAAGACCAGTAATTTAAGGGGAAAATTGCATTATAATACAATATGCAGCACATAATTCAACAGGAAAGCCATCTGTAATTTAATTTTAAGTGGTAGGCATACAAAAAAGCAATTTACGGCCGTTTCCAAGCCTGACAAAGAAGCTTAAATCAAAGAATAAAAGTAAGATAGCAAAAAAGTTGAGACATACCTCTATTTTCATTTTCTTCACCAGTAATCACGGCAGGAGCATAATCCATCTTTAAAATGGTGAAATCTCTTAGCATCACGCATGATGAGTTCTCGACCCACAATTTTTGAAATGATCTTAAGCGCATTATGGCAATCACCACAAACACGAAGGTTCTTAATTACTCTTATGGGTGCACGGGCGGAGCTACTGATTAGACCATATGCAACAGCAAGTCTCTCACTATGAGCAAGTAAAGCATCATTCTTGCCTTCTTGATCAATATCATGGAGTACAAATCGAGTCTCTGGAATATAACCAGCCTCTTTCATCTGTTCCCTCAAACCCCTAAGTAAGGTATAGATCTTATCATTCTCAGGATGAGAAGTATCTCCAGCTCGATATTCATGTACTCGGCTCCTAACTTCTAAAAGATTCTGGTTAGCTAACTTTTTTTTCTCTCTCTCTTTTGCAAGGTCTGAAGCTCTTACAGGTAGGAGGCCAGCTTTTGACTCCTCATTTAAGCGAGAGGGATCAAGTTGCTCAACAAGCTCAAAGCAACGATCCCCAAGCTCCATAAATCCATGAGCTCTAGAGATATTCATCATCATTTCCCAAATTTCTACACCTGGCTCCAATGGCATCTTCTCAATGAACTCCAAAGCTTCATCTACATATCCTACACTTCCAAGCATATCTACTATACTAACGTAATGATGCATTGATGGAATAATGCCATAATTTTTTGTCATTGATTCTAAGTGCAGCATTCCCTCGTCAATATCTCCCAAGACACTACATGCAGAGAAAAGTCCAATAAACATTTTTCCATCAGGTTTCAACCCAGCTTTTTTGAACTCATAAAACAGGTCGATGGCATCTTCCCCTAGGCCGTTCTTAGCAAGCCATGTAATCATAGTATCCCAAGATGTTAGGTTGCGGTTAGGCATGTTGTTGAATATCGTATAGGCATCACCCATGGAACCACATTTAGAGTACATCTCAAGAATTTTGTTATAAGTGCTAACTTTTAGAGGGGAGTGAGATCTACTTATGTAATCACAAACAACTTTGGCTTCTTCTAGGGACCTTGCTTCTGCACATGCATTCATCAACTGTAAATACCGGGGTAAATCAACAAGAATATGTTGTTTCTCTAACGCTTCCAGAACTTGCACAGCCTCCTTCAATTTCCCTTCCTTGCAGAATTCATCAAGCTCCTCAATGGTATCACCATTTTGGTGATCCTTGGTCACTCCAGTTTCCTTGTCAGCATTTATGTTGTTTACTAGCTGAGTATCCATCATGCTACTCTGAATAGTATTCGGGCTAGGCTGATATTGTTCAACAGTGGCACCTTGTTGACATTGTTGCTGCAGATATTGCTGAGAAATAGAGTTTTGCTCACAATGCCCTGAAATGGGAATCTGATTATTTGGTCCAGACGTAGGATTATGGTAATTCAGGCCAGTAACATGTTTATATTGTCTGGATTCCATCGATGTGCCCCATGAGCTCTGTCCATAAACCCCATTACCATTCTCCCGTGGTACTCCATTGTTAAACCCACTATAAGCAGTTAAATTTTCTCTATGCTCAAGTAGAACATTCTGAGACAATGACCTATCATCTCCACGAACCTCATTATAACTTATCTGACTATCTGCATTGTAACTTTTAAGATCTTGAGCCATCATTCCTTTATTAAGGCCATGATGAATAAAATTACCATTATGAGCCACTAGGTTGGCATTATGAGTATTTTCATAGGTTTCTCTAAATGCCTCATAATGGTTCTGGTTAAAGCCATAAGAAGTGGTAGGCAGACAAGATCTACTAGCATTTTCATGCATAGGAGAAGTATTTGTAAAACCACTCCCAGGCGCTTGCCCATAAACTGAGCTAGTAGATGGTCTGTGCTGACCTCGCGTCAAGTCCTCTGTATAAAACCCATCTAAATTTTCTTGATAGGGCCTAGAAGAACTTTTCAAACTAGCGCTTTGGGCATGATGCTGATAGTATCCAGGATTTTGGTTGTCACAGTTAAACCCACCATGGCTTTGGTAACTCTGCGAAGAATTATCTGCATGATATCCATTATCATTCTGATATTCTTCCCTTTCAGAAGAAATGCTTAAATTTCTTAATAGATTGAGGGGTTTGTTTGAGACATAGGAGCTACATGAAGATCGTGCATTGCATAGTGCTATTACGGAGCGTCTGGCAAGAATTGCAGCTCTCTTTTTGGACATTAATTTTTCAAATGCTAAGAGAACCAAGAATAACGTATGAGAGACTGTGGACGAGGAAATCCAAAAAGAGAATATAGCTGCAAAGACAACCTGGATGATCTCAAAAAAAAAAAACCATAAAGCACTTGATAGGAACGGTAACAAAATTTCAACATAAACCCTCGGAACAAGAATATCACTTTGTGAACTGAGAACAACAAACACATAGGCAATAACACAAATCTTTGAAACTATAAGTCCAGAACTCAGAAGATTTTTTTAAGATAAGCATTCAGCTTAGTGAGAACGGTTTAATGTAGTAAAAATTAAATCTTATTATTGGAGTTCTCTCCCTCCGTTATTCACAAATTACACTTATAATGATATTTGCACGAATTGGGGGCATTTTTTTTACCCTTATAACTATTTTCCTCCCATGGGATTTCCTACCCTTGAACAATTTTAAACAAAAATTATGCATTCTTCAATCGCCTATCCTGAAAGCTAGAATGGATCGTAATCGAGCTTAAGTAAGAACAGAGTGACAACAAGAAGTATCACCCACATGTCAACAAAATCCACTTTCCTCTTCCCAATAAAATGTAGGAAGAATAGCACCCATTTCAACTGCAGTGCGGAGGGCATAAACGATTTCAAAAGAAACGAGAGGGAACCGAGACGGAACACAAAAAAAAATAATAATAATAATAATAAAAACAGAGAAGAGAGAGAGACTTGCCGAACCTTCTTTTTGGCTAAAAAAATTGTCCGCCCAAATAGGTCGGATTTGGCAGGAATTTTACCCTGATCGGACTCGCCAAAAGGGGTGGCCGGACTCGTGACGCGGTGGTTCACAACAAACGGCGGCGCGGCTGGACTTCAAGAATGAGGGGTGGCGCAGCGGGACTGACGGTTGAGAAGTGGCTGAGTGAATAGCCGGCGGCCGGTGGAAGAAAAGCAGAGATGAGGGAGGGGGAGAGTAGAGTTCAGGGTTTAGGTTATTTTTTAATATGTAATAAATATTTAATATATGGAAAAGGAGGGTTTATGTTTTTTTTTTTCTTTATTTGAGATATTTGTATATATATATATATATTTTTTTTTTTTGAGGAAAAAAATAAGAAAACAATCTGACACAAACTTAACCAACAAAGAGTTCCGAACTAAACAGGTTCAACAACCATGAAGGAAGACCGCCCCTTTCTCCACACTTCCATTGAAAGCTCTCGTCTTCATTTCTGGCTCTGTTCACTAGTTCATGAGCCACTTGTTAGGTTTAGTGCCCTTAACTCGTGTTTGTAATTAATAAACAATTTATTTATTCAATAAAAAGTTATTTATTTGCATTACTCGTATTCCAATAAACTAAGATCCAAGGTTATTTGATGTAATTAGAATTGTATATAACTAATATATGGTATATATTTAATATACAATGTATATATTTAATATACAGTGTATATATTTGTTCACACTGTGAGTTCTATGCTCGATCTCGTGTCGCTCTGGGCGCAGCTTCCCTACGGAAGGTGTTTGCATGGTTCAATACCAAGGTGAATGGAGAAAGTATTTATAATAAGTGGGAGAAAAACGTGTGACAACACATCCTACGGTCTCCTCCATTGATTTGCAACGTGAGGTTTCATACACTGCCTGCATGTCGTCCTGGAGCGACCACCCCTACGGAGGGTCTGTTGTATGGAATCAAAATCAGAGCGAACTCCATAAATGGATAAGGTTTCTTAAGTTTTGCATTAATATTTGTCCTTCCCTACGGTAGGCTTATTGGGGCGGACCTCTGAGGTTTGGAAATGGCGGGTCACACCTACGGGAAGTTGTTAAGTTAGTTAATAACTTCTTGACCAAACAAACAGTGACTAACTATTATAGGAATAAGAGTTATTTTCACGTAATATTTAGTTGAGAATGTCTCAATTCAGTGAAGGAGTAGCTGACTGCCCCACGGTAGCTGTTGCTTTAAATCACTAAAGCATCATCGCAAAAATACTCTTGATTGATACGGTGAATTATTACTTTGTGCTAAAATTCATTGGGTTTTAATGGGTAGTGCAAGTGTCTAATATAGAATTGTTTCTATTTCAGCATGTTTACTTTCGTGATTGCCCTGCTTGCCGCTGAAAAACTTAACAGCAAAAATTACACACAATGGAAAATGAACCTTAACACGATATTTGTGGTAAATGATCTTAGGTTCGTCTTTAACTGAGGAGTATCCTCAGGCCCCCACGCCTAATGCAGCCCGAGCCAGTCGGGGTGCCTATAACAAATGGATCAAGGCTAATGACAAGGCCAAGGTCTACATCTTGGCAAGCATATCTGCTGTGTTGGCCAAGAAGCATGAGAACATGGTCACTGCAAGGGAGATTATGGACTCATTGTGGGACATGTTTGGACAGTTGTCCATTCAAGCCTGACACGATGCGGTCAAGTTCTTTTACAATTCCTGCATGAAAGAGGGAACATATGTGCGAGAACATGTTCTCAATCTGATGGTCCACTTTAATGTGGCTGAATTGAACAGCGTTGTCATAGACGAGGGGAGCCAGGTCAGCTTTATCTTGGAATCTCTTTCGAAGAGTTTCCTACCTATGATGAACAAGATAGAGTACAACCTTACCACGTTCTTAAATAAGCTACAAATTTTTTAGTCGCTTATGAAAAATAAGGGACAGGAAGGAGATGCAAACGTTGTCACCTCAAAACGATTCCATCGAGGTTCGACCTTAGGAACCAAATCTGTACTTTCTTCTTCTAGAAGTAAGCCTTTCAAGAAGAAGAAGAACAGTGGTAAAGGGGTGAAAGCTGACCCTACTGCTACTGCTGCTACCAAGAAGGGCAAGGCCAAAGTTGCAGACAAAAGGAAAATGTTTCCACTGCAACCTGGATGAGCACTGGAAAAGAAACTGCCCGAAATACTTGGCCAAAAATAAGAAAGCCAAATAAGGTAAATATGATTTACTTGTTCTTGAAACTTGCTTAGTAGAGAATGATGATTATGCCTAGATACTGGATTCAGGGGTCACTAGTCATATTTGTTCTTCTTTTCAAGGAATTAGTTCTTGGAAGTAGTTTAATGCTGGGGAGATGACTCTCAAAGTCTGAACGAGAGATGTTGTCTCAACAGTCGCAGTGGGAGACCTAAAGTTGTTTTTAGACAAAAATACATATATATTATTAGATAATGTGCATGTAGTTCCCAAAATAAAGAGGAACTTAATTTCAATTTCTTGTCTAGTTAATTTCACGAAATGGTGTTAATATTTGTTCTGCAAAACTCGAAAACAACTTATATGTGTTAAGACCAACCATAACTACATCAATTTTAAATACATAGTTGTTTAAAAATTCTAAAACTCAACACAAAAGACAAAGAACTTCTCCAAAAGAAAATACCTATCTTTGACACTTAAGATTAGGTCACATAAATCTCAATAGGATTGGGAGATTGGTTAAGAGTGGACTTCTAAGCGAGTTAGAATATGACTCCTTAACTCCATGTGAATCTTGTCTTGAAGGCAAGATGACTAAAAGACCTTTTACTGGAAAAGGTTACAGAGCCAAAGAACCATTGGGTCTGGTACATTCAGACTTTTGTGTTCCGATGAATGTTAAAGTCAGGGGATAGTATGAGTATTTCATCTCTTTCATAGATGATTATTCAAGGTATGGATATCTCTATCTAATGCAACATAAGTCTGAAGCCCTTGAAAAGTTTGAGGAGTACAAGACTAAAGTTGAGAACCAATTAGGTAAGACGATAAAGACAAATTTTCAATCTAATCTGGGTGGATAGTATATAGACTTAAGATTCAAGGACTATATGATAGAACATGGAATTACATTCCAACTCTCAGCAACTGGTACACCTCAACAGAATGATGTATCAGAAAGGAGAAATAGAACCCTGTGGAACATGGTTCAATCTATGATGAGCTATGCTCAATTGCCTGCCTCGTTTTGGGGTTATGCAACAGAGACTGCAGTATACGTTTTGAACACTGTTCCATCAAAAAGTGTTTCTGAAACACCTTTTGAACTATGGAGAGGATGAAAATCTAGTTTACATCACTTCAAATTTTGGGGATGTCCAGCATATGTGTTAGTGACAAACCCGAAAAAACTGGAATCTCGTTCAAAAGTGTGTCTATTCGTAAGTTACCAATGAGAGGTGAACTCTTCTTCGATCCACAAGAAAATAGAGTATTTGTATGGACAAATGCTACATTTTTGGAAGAAAACCACATGAGAGATCATAAACCACGAAGCAAGGTTGTGTTAAGTGATATTTCTGATGAAGCTACAAATACATCAACAAGAGTTGTTGATAAAACTATCACTTCAATAAGAGTTGTTGATGGTGCTAGTACATCACGTCAGTCACATCCATCACAAGAGTTGAGAGTGCCTCGACGTTGTGGGAGGATTGTGACACAACCTGATCGTTACGTGGATTTAACAGAAACCCAGGTCGTCATACCTGATGATGGCATTGAGGATCTATTGTCCTACAAAAAGGCAATGGAAGATGTTGCTAAGGACAAATGGGTCAAAGCTATGAACCTTGAAATGAAGTCTATGTACTTCAATCCCGTCTGAGACTTGTAGATCAACCTGATGGGGTCAAACCTATAGGTTGTAAGTGGATCTACAAGAGAAAACGAGATGCCAAAGGAAATGTATAGACCTTTAAGGCTAGACTCGTGGCAAAGGGTTACACCCAAAGGGAAAGGGTGGACTATGAGGAAACCTTCTCCCCGGTTGCCATGCTAAAGTCTATAAGAATACTCTTGTCCATTGCCACGTTTTATGACTATGAAATTTGGCAAATGGATGTCAAGACTGCTTTTCTGAATGACAATCTTGAAGAGAGTATTTATATGTCTCAACCAGAAGGGTTTATCAAGCAAGGTCAAGAGCAAAATGTTTGCAAACTTAAATGATCCATTTATAGATTAAAACAAGCATCTCGATCTTGAAATATAAGACTTGATACTGCAATCAAGTCTTATGGTTTTGACCAGAATGTTGATGAGCCTTGTGTATACAAGTAGATCATCAACAACACTGTAGCTTTCTTGGTGTTGTATGTGGATGATATCCTACTCATTGGGAATGATGTAGGTTTCCTAACTGACATTAAGAAATGGCTATCAACTGAATCCCAAATGAAAAATTTCGCTCAGTTTGTTCTGGGTATTTAAATCATAAGGAATCGAAAAAACAAAATGCTAGCCCTGTCTCAAGCAACTTATATCGACAAAATGCTCACCGGATATTCGATGCAGAATTCCAAGAAAGGTTTACTACCTTTCAGGCACGGAATCTCTCTGTCGAAGGAACAATGTCCTAAGACGCCTCAAGAAGTTGAAAATATGAGACACATTCCCTATGCTTCAGTAGTGGGCAGCATGATGTATGCCATGTTGTGTACTACGTTTGACATTTGCTATGCAGTATGGATTGTCAGTAGGTATCAATTCAATCCAGGATATGATCACTGGACTGCTGTTAAGGGAATCCTCAAGTATCTTAGGAGAATGAGGAACTATATGCTTGTGTATGGCGCTGAGGATTTGATCCATACAGGATACACTAACTCTGATTTTCAAAGTGATAAGGATTCGAGGAAATCCACTTCGGGATCAGTGTTCACTCCTAATGGATGAGCTGTAGTATGGAGGAGTATCAAACAAGGATGCATTGCAGACTCCACAATGGAGGCCGAATATGTTGCCGCTTGTGAAGTAGCAAAAGAGACGGTGTGGCTTAGAAAGTTTTTAGCTGATTTGGGAGTTATTCCAAACTTGACTTTGCCCATCACACTTTATTGTGATAACAGTGGTGCTTTGGTAAATTCTAACGAACCCCGAAGTCATAAAAGAGGCAAGCACATCAAGCGGAAGTATCATTTGGTACGAGAAATAGTGTAACGAGGGGACGTGATCGTCACGAAGGTTGCTTCGGAGCATAACA